CCCCATTCAGACCATTGTTTGATTGTCGTAATGCAGTTTCATTGTAATGCGGTTTCATCGTAATGCGGGGCAATCGTAAAGTGAAGCACCACTGTACAATCTTATATGTTATTAACTACTTTGCTTGCATTGAGCAGTTATCACCGGCATTACTGTATGCTGGGGAAAAGTAATTGATCCCACTGCTCAAATGAACACATTAGCACCACTGCATTGTTGAAGTAAAAATTATAAAGTTGATCTGTGTTACGCAAACCTCAGCTTGACAAGAAGGTATTGCTAGCTGAGCAAAACACACACAGCCTTCACAACACACTGACTTGTGTTCTAGAAAGGCTTTGTAATGTATTTTCTCCTACTAAGTCTGCATGGAATTATATTCTATTAAATTCAAAGGGAATGCCTTACTACTCACAGTGTGTACAGCAGGATTTATTGTTCTCACATCAGACATTTAGGGGTTAAGAACTGAGGGCTATCCTTTTGTCATTTGCTTTGGATTAAAGAAAAAGAAAAGCAAAAGTATTGTGGCATCTTGACAACTAACAGATTTATTTCGGTCTGAGCTTTCATGGGTTACAATCCATTTCCTCAGACCCAGATGAGGAGATGGAAAGGAGGGAGAGTGGGAGAGAGAGAAAAGGAGAAAACCTAAAGGACCCTTCCACATCATCCTGGGGAAAAATGTCCGGTGAGGATGCAAATGGAAATTGCTCCCAGTGCGAAAAAGGTCTATTTTATTTGGGAAGCCTACAGGAAACTTCCCTCCTTGTCTCCAATTCTCTCTCAGGGTACAATTACATGGGAGGGGGGTATATTATTTGATCCACTACGATTTGCAATTTATCAAATCCGGTTTCCTTGGGTGAAATCACTGTAGCCATCCAGACAACAATTTGCAAAAGTCAGTAGAGACCTTGGTTTGCAGAGAGCTCCAACTACAGAAGCTACATCTGGTCCAAAACAGATTCTGCTCCAGCAAAAGAAACCAGAGCGCTTTGAATTAGAGGAAGAGCCACATACTGTGTCTCCAACAAGATGAGATGGATTGCTATGACAGCTCCAACATGTCATGTGAGGCCTTTGCAGTTTACACTTGATGTTTCACACTTTGCACCAAAATGCCCTAGACCAAGAAGTGTTTGGTTGAGGGGAACTGATATCCCCCACAAGCAACCCTCTGCATCAGATCAGGTGACCATACTGGGCAGAAAGCGGATAAAGCTGTGTCAGACCGATAAGAGCCCATTTAAACCACTCCCACAGCTGAATAGAAAAAAAGGTGGTTCTCTACTTGAAAGAGATATTCCACTGCAGTTCCCTCACACTGAGCTTTGCATCACATGCCAGGTTTCAATTCAAATTCATCCAATGCAAATTGTGGGATAAATGGCCAATGTAGTTGCCCTCTCGAATGTCTCCCTGGAGCAATTCACTTCCTTTGCTATCTTGTTCAATCCTGAACCTGCCCTGCATTCTTCCTTGTGGCCCAACAGCTCATCCGCAGAAAAAGGAGGGGCCAGGCAACCCTTCCAAGATGACCCACCATTCGGATCCTTCTTCTATTCATTATTCAGGCAAAACATCTCCCCTGATGCCAGTAAGGTGTAAGGGACAGGAACACTGTTCTGTTTCCACATAAAAGTAGTGAATTGCAGCCATGAGCATTACTGGCAAAAAAGTAACCTCATTCCAGTTCACTCCGTTGAAAGTAATTCATTAGGAAAATTAGTTTCTCCCAAACTTTGAGACTGAAGGGTTGGGGTGGGGTTGACACATAAAATTCTATGATTGTATGGTTAGAGTGTGACACCATAGACCATATTTCTGAAGACCTCAAATAACTGGCTTTCAGTCTCCCTCTTAATATGAAGGATGTCCTGGAGATCTCCTCTGGTGGAATTGTAACTTAAATGGAAATTTAAATTTTATTATGTCTTCCTTATATTCTGTATTAGAACTATTTTTTATCTC